GCGACGCATGGAGGCGCGGGCACGCGTTGGCGTGGTGGCGCGGGCGCGGATACGGTGGCAGGACACGAAGGTGGAGGCGCGGGATGGGCGAGGCGAGCACGCGAGGATGCGCACGGCGGGGCGCGAGGAGGCGCGCGGTTGGGCGCGGCGCGCGGCCATGGGTGCTGCGCGATGGTCTCCTGCGCAGATCTGGCAGGTGGCAACCGCGCGAGGATGTGCGCGGACAGGCGCGAGGAGGCGTGCGGCTGGGCGTGGTGTGCGACCATGGGTGCGGCGTGCTATGCACAGGCGCAGATCCGGCAGGCGGCGGCCGGTGGTCTTCGCTCGGTGGCCCAGCGGGCAGGTCTGGATGCCACGGATCCGGCCTTGGCAGCGCAACATGGGCAGTTTCTCTACCCCGTTCTGGTGCTCTGGAGTCCAGGGGGGAAGGAGACGGCTGCTGACCGGAGGTCCGTGGCTGGCGGCCCGGGAGGGGCACTGTCGGCTGCTGGTGGTGCCCGGTTGCTTCTTGTTGGAGCAGGGTGGCTCCGACCGTGGTTGGATGCGGGGTGCAGGACCCGATCTTGTCTCTGCGGGCCCGTCGATGAGGAGGTGTGCGGGTGGCCCTACACAGCAGTGGTGTGCTCATTGTGTGGGAGGTGCGCGGTCCAATGGAGGTACGGGTCGGCCTCGGCCTGCTGCGTGGGAGTGGCTGCACCGGGTGAAAGCCTGGCCAGTGCTGACCGGCCGGCGGCGATGGCGCTTGTGGACGTCGCTATCTTCTGTAACGCCCTCGATGCGGCTATATCTTCCATGTGTCGAAGCACGACTTAGAGGCATAACTGCATTGAAAGCAATGTCGCAAGTAAGGCGATCTTCACAACATCCCATGTAAATAGATAATAAAGGGAAAGGTACATAGTTGGCTTACACTCGCCACGTCAAACAAAGTACATAAAAAGCATTACATCATCCAATCACTCATGGCCCGACTACGGTGCCAAAATAAAAGATCAACCCAACATGCGACACGGTCCCGATCGCCCCAACTGGGCACCACTACCGATCATCAGGGAAAGACACATAGTAACGGCGTGAGTCTTCGTCGAACTCCCACTTGAGCTCAAGCGCATCATCTGGAACGGAGTCATCAGGCCCTGCATCTGGTTTGGAAGTAATCTGTGAGCCACAGGGACTCAGTAATCTCACACCCTCAAGATCAAGACTATTTAAGCTTATAGGTAAGGCAAGGTAGTATGTGGAGTTGCAGCAAGCGACTAGCATATATGGTGGCTAACATGTTCACAAAAGAGAGCGAGAAGAGAAGGCAAAGCGCGAACGAAGAACTAGAGAACAACCTACGTTAAACATTACTCCAACACCGTGTTCACTTCCCGGACTCCACCGAGAAGAGACCATCACGGTAACACACACAGTTGATTCATTTATTTAAGTTAAGGTTCAAGTTATCTACAACCGGACATTAACAAATTCCCATCTGCCCATAACCGCGGGCACGGCTTTCGAAAGTTCAAATCCCTGCAGGGAGTCCCAACTTAGCCCATGACAAGCTCTCACGGTCAACGAAGGATATACCTTCTCCCGAGACATTCTGATCAGACTCGGCATCCCGGTTCTACAAGACACTTCGACAAGTTAAAACAAATCCAGCAACACCGCCCGAATGTGCCGACAAATCCCGATAGGAGCTGCACATATCTCGTTCTCAGGGCACACTCAGATGAACACTATGTACAACTAAAACATAGCATGCACATTGTAAGCATGACAAGCTAAGCATACACCCATC